ACTAATACAAACTATTGGACTAGGAAAAGAATATATGATCGTTGGTATGATAAAATGAAGAGAACTAGGAAAAAAAAAATTAATAATAATTAAAATTTTTTGTAAATAATGTAAATAAAATTTTTTGTAAATAATGTAAATAAAATTTTGTTAAATGGTAAATAAAAATCTCAATTTATATAAATATTAATATATTTGCAATCCTAAAATCATTTCATCTTTAGATTCTGAGGATTTCTTTTGATATCTTAAATTAGTTGTCAAATATGTAAGATTTTGAGTTAATATGGTTGAAATTTTTGAAATTAATAATTAATAATAACTTTATTCAATTAAATCAATATGTGTGTAAATTGATTTATGAACTGAAATAAACAATACCTTCTAATAATAATTACATCCTAGATGAATTGAGATAAATAATATTTTTAATAACTACATCCTAGATAAATAAATAAATAAAATATCATAATTAATAATAATTTTATTCAATTAAATCAACATGTATGTAAATTGATTTATGAACTGAAATAAACAATACCTTCTAATAATTACATCCTAGATGAATTGAGATAAATAATACTTTTAATAACTACATTCTAGGTAAATAAATAAATAAAATATCATTAATAATCTGTCATTAATAATTAATAATAATTTTATTCAATTAAATCAATATGTATGTAAATTGATTTATGAACTGAAATAAACAATACTTTTTAATAATTGCATCCAGATGAATTGAGATAAATAATACTTTTAATAACTACATCCTAGATAAATAAATAAATAAAATATCATTAATAATCTGTCATTAATAATTAATAATTTTATATTCATTGATTCAATTAAATCAATATGTATAAATAATATTTTTTAATGATTACATCTTAGATAAATAAATATAATTCTTTTATAATAGAGTCATACATTTTTTTCCTATAATATCTACTACTTTCATAAATAATAGTTTACAACTTTTAAAATTTTTTGCTGAATCCAATCTATATACATAAAATTCTTCGCAACTATTAAATTTCTATAAAATAGTTTTTCGTGAGCTTCTCTAAAACTTATTAACCAACACCCCCCATAAAGTAATGACCATATGAAAGCTTAAAGTATTCTATACCTTCTCATTTACTATCAAGTCTTTTAAAGCGATATTGAGAAATAATCTGAGGTTTGAAGTGAAAAAGTAACACCATTTTTGAATAGTCGTGAATTTGTGTAGAGAAGACCTTTCGATATGAAAGAGTATTCATTAGAAAGCTTTAATGGAGTACTTTCATTTTACTCTAACAACGAAGTTCGAATTTATTATAAAAATCACGAGATATTTTTAAAAAAATTCATGTGACACGAAATTCGAATTTATTTTCACATATAGAAAAACAGCCTCAGGGAAATGTCACACGACTAATATATGAAAATCCGTTAAATCCGTTAAATCGAGATAAAATAATTATAGAAAAATTTGGTTTTGAAAATTTATCCATTAAACCCCTAAATCCGCTAAATCGAGGTCCGCTAAATCGAGACTCACTGTGTACTTGCAATTGGACGCATCAAACAAAATTTTATGCATATGAATATAAAGGCAAAATTTGACTTTGAGGGTCAGATTATTTTCAGTTTTATTAACAACCTGCTTTAAGATTTTTCATAAAGTAGACACATATGATAAAGAAATTATATATCAAATTTGGTGGTGGTTGCTACACAGCAAGGGTATCAAACAAGGGTGTGAAGACATTTGATTATAAAATTTTACTATGATGCAGATCATCCAAATTTTACTATGTTTTACAACTTCCTATAGATCGAATTTTCTGGAAAAAAATATCTGTTAAATCGAGACTCCTTTTTTTTCTATTTTAAAACAATTGAAATAACAAGTTTCACAACATAAAAAAGATCAATGATTGACATATCCACCGATTTGTGCAACCTAATGGGGTACAAAATTTTGAAACAACAAAAATTTAGGGTTCTTGTCGATTGTCACCAAATGTAAAATTATTATGAAATTTTGTTGCCAATTATTATTAATAAAATAAGAAATTTCCCAAATCTCACTCAGGGCTGGCTGCATAACCCTAAGGTTTAGTCAACATGACATGACTAAAGCATTAAGTCAAGTTTAGCTTTTTTCATATAATTTGACGTAATGACTTAACTTTAGCCACCTGACTTAACTTTAGCCAGTTGACTTAACTTTAGCCAGTTGACTTAACTTTAGTCACTTAACTTAACTTTAGCCAGTTGACTTAACTTTAGCCAGTTGACTTAACTTTAGTCACTTGACTTAACTTTAGTCACTTGACTTAACTTTAGCCGTTGACTTAACTTTAGTCAGTTGACTTAAATCTGCGTAAAGGGGTTAAAATCCTAATTTAAAAATCCTTTACTTCTTCCTTCCATAACAATGTAAATATAAGAGAAATTGCACTTGAAAAATATATACCTCATTGAATATAACAGTAATTCTTATTTTTTTACAAATTAATAAAATTAAATAATTTTTAATAAAAACCATATTTACTGTGCGCATACATATACATACATATATATATTGGATATCATCAGTGGATTTTTTTGCATCATTATTATTATTGGTAGAAACAATAATATTAGTAATAATAGTAATATAATAATAAGATATATTTTTTAAATTTGGAAAAATTATGGCATTTTATAATATGTAGGCATAAGTTAATATTCATTAATATAAATATGTACAAATAAACTTATTTACATAAGTTTTCATGTTTTAGAGATGATGATATAGGTATAGATATTGAACACCCTATTAATTTAGTTGAAAGTGAAACCCAAGTTAATTTTACATCAAGTAATGAAGATCCTACTACAACAAATATAATTAGAGGTGGATGACCTTCTTCAGATGTATGGCAATATTTTGAAAAAAATACCTCTAAATCAAAAGGTCACTACACTGCAAAATGTAGATATTGCTTGAAATTTTGGAGAAGAGGAATTCCAGATAAATTAGAAGCACATCTTGCACTTAAATGTGAAAAAGTTGATAGAGAAATTTCTCAAATATATTTAAAAAAACTTGCAACTAAAAATTCAGTATCAGATGTTGAGTCTGAAGATAAAATGTCAATAAGTACAGCAACAAATTCAAGGAATTCCTCTAGCTCTAAAAAAAAAAGGAAAACCAATAATAATTTACATTCATATTATGAAAATACTGATTGCAATCTTGAACAAAAACAAAAATTAGATCAGGCCTTGTTATGTGCATTTGTTGTGTATGGGATACCTTGGAATGTTATATCTAATCCATTTTTTATTGATTTTGTGAAGTTGGCTAAACCTGGATATGATCCAGCTACACGTAAAGAATTATCAGGTCAACTTCTTAATCAAGAAATTGCTAGAATTACTATTAAACTTAATAAACTTGTAAAAAGTGAAAGAAATATGATGTTGGGTAACGAAAATATATAATTTTTTATTAATTTATTTGTAAATTTCAAAATTTTTCTGTTAATATTATTTATTAATAATAGCCCTTGATGGTTGGACAACCCCGTCTGGTGGAGTATTGTATAGTTTTGTAATCCTCACACAAAGCAAAGAATATTTATTCAAATTAAAAAATTATAGTATAGTGTCACAAACAGCTGATTTTTTGACTTCTGAAATCAAATCAATTTTAGAAGAAATTGGTCCTAACAATTTCTGTGGTTTGGTGACTGATCATGCATCCAACATCAGAGGTGCAAGAAAAAATATCTGCAATGCATTTCCACATATTTTCAACATTAGGTGCATTGCACATACAATTAACTTGATTGCTACTGATATGGCGAAAAATGAATTTGTGGCTTAAATAATTTCAAAAGTTGGAAAATTGGTGAGTTTTTTTAAAAAATCCCACATTGGAAATGCATTGCTCCATGAAGGTCTGAAATCAATGAATATATCTGGTGGCTTTCTTGTGTCATATTCCAAGATACGCTGGGGGTCATTGTTTGATACAACAAATTCTGTCTTAATATCCCAACCAGTTTTTGCAAAGGTATTTTATCTTATTTTATCTTATCTTATTTTATTTACTTAATTTATAAACAATAACTCATAATTATTATTAAAAAAAGATTCTTGAGGAAAATAGGAGTGTGGTTACAAATAGAGATGTTGCAGCATTAATGTCTAATCAAGGATTTTTTTATGATGTACGAATTATTTCACAAATTTTTAAACCAATCAAACAAATCATTCATTGCCTTGAACGAAGAAGTGCCAATCTTTCAGATTGTTTTTTAGGATTTGTGTATCTTGCTTTGGCAATTAAACAATTACCAAACAATATGAATTTACAATCAGAAATTATTAAAATTTTCAACTCCAGATTTAACTCTTTTGAAATTGACCTTTATCTGCTTGCTTACTTTTTGCATCCAAAACATAAAGGTAATATTATCTATAAAATATATTATATTTATAATGATTTAAATAATGATAATTAATCACCCTATATATTTATAGGGTATGCCATGAAACAAGGAAATTTTCGTCAAATATGTGATATTGCTGTTTCATATGTTTCAAGGTTAGGTTTCACAGATATAGCTGTTAGCCAACTCATCATGCAAATGCGTTCATTTAAGGATGGTTTATACCCTTATGATTTTATATTTAATGTTAACGATCCTATTACATGGTGGACAACAATTGAAGATAATCACAATTATTTGCAACAACTTGCAATTAAATTGTTTTCAATAGTACCTTCTCAGGCAAGTTGTGAGAGAACATTCTCAATACTTAAATGGATCCATGGGTTGAATAGAAACTCTTTGTCAAGTGACAACTTGGAATCCATGGCAATAATCCAATCATATCTTATCTCAGATATTGAGAAAACCATGTTTTATGTACCAAAAAAAATAATGATATTGATTTTTCTAGTGTGGCTAACTCAGAAACAGTCATCGATGGATTGGATCTCGAAGAAGAGGAATCATTTACATCACTTGAATTAGAAGAGGATCTATCTGATGTTTCTGATAACAACAGTGCTAATAATCATTTATCAATTGAATCAATAATTGATTTATCAG